CCTGGATGCTGAGGTCTGAACTATGGGACTCACAATTCTGTAACAAGCAATCTCAACCACTGAGCTATCTCTTCCATCCCACCATTCACCTTTTAAGTCTATATGTGCCTTTGCCTGATCTGATCCTAATTTTTTTTACCACTTTTATCTTGTTCCAATTAGAAACTGCATTGCAGAACAGGAGTCACATAACATGTAAATGTCAGTTGTCTTTCTTAATGATTAAATGAAACAGTGTACACAAAGTGCACAGCACATAGCACGAAGGACTTGATACCATAAGTGCTTTATACATCTACATTTCTTAATGAGGGACTCCTATAAGGAACATTACAAATTCCTTTAATCATTATGATTTCAAACGTGTTGCATGATTATTTTAAAGATTCTCTATGATTTTAAGAATTGTAAGACTCTGTTGGCTTGGTTTTGATTAGTGGTGCTTTGTGGTATTTTGATGACACATAATAAGCTGATAGAAGGCTCACTAGGGTCTTCGAGGTGCTAAATGCCTGTCTTCTGACTTATTTACATGTAGGGGATGAGATTATATTTGTGCTTTGAATACAATCTGCAATTTTGCATGCATCTATTGATAACTCAACATGAGACACAAGGCATAGTTGAATGAAATTTACAGAAGATTCCAATTAAAGTCTTACTCTGATAAGGGCTTCTACTGAAATATGGACATCAGTGTATTTCTCTTTGCCTTGTCAAGTTGTCACGCTCAGGTGAACTTCTCCCTTTGGGTCTGTAGGTGGCAATATCTAACCAGAAATGCTCACATGCACTTGTTGACCACAAGAATGCATTCAGCCTTCAAATTGGATGATTACATACAGATGCCCTGTTTAAAATGTGGCGGAGTGTTGCCTGAGTTTGAATACATAATCAGACCCCAGCTTTGCTAGGCCCCCCTATTTACATATGTTTGAACGGCTGCCTCTGTTTTCTGTGATCCACTGGGTGAGGTCTTCTGGGATTTCCCCTCTCTCTCCCCTGCTGACTTGCTAAGGTACCTTTCTGGCTCTTCTTGGGAATAACAGCTCCCTTACAGAAATACCCACTTCTTCCCCATGCTTTGTTATATAGCACCTGACCGTCCTCTCCACAAAGGAGAGGGTTAAAAGAGAGAGCCAAGAAAGGAAGTGTGTGTGCTCACACAGCTCTGGAGTGCATCTCCATTGCCGTTGCCATGGCTACCACAGACACCCGGTGTACTTTTCTCCTTGTTAGTTTTCCTCACCCTCTCTTTACCAGATTGCTAGCAATGATAATGTTGAGAAAATCCCCCAAAGAACTAGCCGTTTGCTCTATAGACACGGAAGACAGGAAACAACTCTAAGCCTAAAATCGTGTTTTCTTTGTGTCTTTGAGGAGTCAGGACTAACTAGCAAGCCGCACACAAAAAGTGGTGGGGGCAAAAAAGCAGACAAATCGGGTATGGTGGTGGTGTGTGTTCCTGTAATCCCAATATTTGGAAAGTAATGGTAAGGGAATCAGGAATTGAAGGCTAGCATGAGCTATGGGAGATTGTATTTCTAAACAAACAGAAGCATAAAACAAGGAACTGGAAAATAGGGATCATTCAACCCAAAGTAAGCACTGCCCCTGTGACTTCTCCACTGGCCAGAAGTCAAAGCTTCCCATTCCTCATGCCAGGGTACCACAGTTCCAAACAAAGGCTCTTGAGGAGGGGGTAAAATGGGGAGGAGTCATTGATGAAGTACTATATTAGTGTTGTGTTCATGCAAGTTCAAAGTCTGTGTAGAGATTGCACAGAAAAGGGTTTTGACATTTCAATTGCATGTGTGTGTGCATGCATGTATGTGTGCATGTCCGTGTGTGTGTGTGCATGTGCGTGTGTGTGTGTGATACACAACAGCCCAGGTGTAAAGGTCAGAAGACAGCTTTCAGAGTTAGCTCTTCTTTCCTCTGTGGGTTTTGGGGATTTAGGTATCATGATTATACATTTGTAAATTTTATTTACATATAATACATATAATATTGATTCGCATATTAAGTTTATTTGTGTAAGTAAAGTGTGTCTTTTAGAATTAATTTATCACAACAGGCGTTATTTCTATAAAATAATTTGGTTCATTTTGTTAGTGACATTTTCTTTTCTCACCAATAATCAGTTTTAGTCCAAGACAGTGTCTCATGTTATTTTGCAAAAAAGTTAAATTGCTTTATAATATTTACCAAGCCTAGGAATTAGAATGCTTCATGAAAAGTACTGGCACAGTGTCCACGAGCCTGTGCTATTAATTGCTGCAACTCTCACTGCAATTAGAGCAGAATATGGAAGATTGGCAGTCATTTAGTCATAGAAAGAAAACACAAAGCTTATTTACCAAACTGAAAAGAAATTAGGAAAGCTATTTTCTTCAGATTACATGTCTGCTCAAATGCACTTTCTTAATTATATTTTGTAAGTGATAACTTTTATCTCTTTAATCTCTTGGTTGAAAATTAAACATCAGTAGATTATCCATTAAGCTGCAAATCATGGGTCCTAGGAAATTTGAAAGATACGATTCTAGCCAGGTGTGTGTCTTGAAAAGGTAGTAATAATTCATCATCTGGCTGAAGATGACCAAATCCCTTCCTGTAGAGAGGCAAGGTCGTGGTGTGGACAAACACAAGGTTTGGCTTCAGACCTGTGTATTAAGTTCCCCATAGCACTCTCACTAGCTGCTGGCCCTCCGGGGCCTCAGGTTTCTCAACTGTAAAATGGGAGAAACACCTATACTGAAATCCTTAATGTAAAATGGTAGCTTTACAAATCCCATCAGCTTCAACTGAGCAGTTTTATTAGGACATAGGTTTTATCTGGTTTTGTTTTGTTTTGTTGTTGTTGTTGTTTAGTTTTTTGAGACAGGTGTAGCTTTGGTGCCTGTCTTGGAACTAGCTCTTGTTGACCACGCTGGCCTTGAACTCACAAAGATCCTCCCTCCTCTGCTTCCTGAGTGCCGGGCTTAAAGATGCACACCACCACTGCCCGGCTATCTGTATTTTTTTTAAAGATTTCTTTTACTTTTAATCATGTGCATATGTGTGTTTCTATATGTGGGATGTGCGCATGAAAGTGAAGGCACCCATAAGGTCCAAAAGAGAGTGTCAAATCCCTTGAAGCTGGAATTATAGGCAGTTGAGCTGTCTGATGTGGGTGCTAGGGACAGCTCTAGTCTTCTGCAAGAGCAGTGGTATATACCATTAATTGCCAAGTCTTTCTCCAGCTTCTGCTTTTATGTTTTATGGATGAGTTACTCAGGGCTCACATTCTGTACAGTACTTTCCCTCAGCTGCCTGTAGAGCATGGCTGGGGAATGGATATCCTGGATAACACTGATGATTTGATGCGATCGTTCAGTTGTGACCTAGCTGCCCCCAAGGCAGCCACTCTCAGGCTGTTGCCCCTGACACACACATGGTACTGCATGGTCAGGGCTGCTATTGTGGTTGCTGAAACTGCATCCTCAACTGCATCCAGAAACCTGAGGACAGAGAGTTCGTTCTTAATAGAGAGCGCCATTTCCAACCCCATTTGCACTCAATTGCTGATTGTGAGTTTCTCTGAACACATTTCACAAGCTGTAATAACACTGTAGTTGGGGACCACTATGCAAAGTATGTTCCAGAAAAGGAATTTGGCCACATTTTAGTAGAGAATTCTTGTTTGGGGTGACAAGGAAGGTTGGTGAGGCCAGCAGCCATCTCAAAAGTGAAGACTATCTTGTAGGCACTTGGACGTTCTGGAGTGAGAAAGCTTTGATGCTGAAGCACCTTCTTGCGGGATGGTGAGTGGGGACAGACAGGAAGCCAGGGAAACACTCGACCTACTGAACTGTGCTAGATGGAATATAGGGTATGAGGAAGGCTTGGACTTAGGCAGTAGCACTGGGAATGGACAGGAATAAAAACACCCAAGGAAATCTGGATATGTACAGGTGACCAAGGGGGTTAAGTGGTCAAGGAAGAAAGCAAAAGTTTCTAAATAAATTCTCAGAAAGTAGATTCCTTTCTTTCTCTCAGTTTTCTTCCCCCACCCATCTCTCACTCTTCCATCTTTCTCTTCCTGCCTCCCTCTGTCTTTCTTTTCTTCTTTTTCTTTCTCTTTTTATCCATCCATATTCCTCTTCCCTTTTCTCCCTTTCATTTTGTTCTTTTATACAGAATCTCATTCTTTATCTCAGTCTGTCCTAGAAGTCACTAAATAGCTTAGGATGACCTTGTAGCTCAGTCTGACTTTATTTCATGGAGATTCTCCTATGTCCTGAGTGCTAGGACTACGAGGACCACCACACCTAGTTCTCTATATATCAAATGGCCTTGCAGTCCCAGACTTTGTTGATAGAAACAATCTAGAAAGGCACTGAAACAGAGAGAAAGCAGCATCTGAGATATGCATGGTTTTTAGGGCTCAGCTCATGAAACATACTTTGACTCCCACCAATATGCTGTCTGCTGGAAGTGTTCAGGTAGCCTGCAGAACTGTATTAAAATCCTAGGCAAAATGACTATGTGGTTAGTCACAGCAACACCCTACTGCCTGAATATAGCTTTTCTTTCAGTAGCCCGAAAGGGAGGGTTTACTGAATGGTCCATCTGGGCATTAGACCAACAAACAAGTAGAATGTTTGAAGTGACCAAGAAAACATTCTATGTTAACCTCAGACTGATGTCATCTGATAGACTCTTCACCTTATCACTTGGGTACAGCCTCCTTAAAGGTGGGGAATTTACATTTTGCTCATTGCTGTAGAACCGTGTCAGGACAGTCTGCTTCCCAGTAGATGCTCAATCAAGGATCCCAAGTGTGGCCTACCACCATCTCCTCTGTGCTGGGCACGGAGCTAATGGCACTGGAGGGATGGATAATGATCAGTTTCATTGTGCAAAATATACTAACCCAGTAAGTCAATGCTAACATCAGATGTCCAGCCATATTGAAAGTATGTACCTTTTTCTTTCTTTGAAAAAACAAACTATAGTGATGATCTAGAACGATTCATGGAAAATCAAGGTGCAGCCAGCCCAGGTGTCCTCATTTTAACAACAAGCCTCAGCAAGCCATTCATGCGACTGGAGAAGTATGTTACTCTCTTGCAAGAGCTGGAGCGACATATGGAGGTAAGGGAAAGCAAGCTTCAGCAAGGTCCTCTGCCCACTGGGGTCCTGTGTGCTGCACAAAGCAATGCTCTGCCTCCAAAGCAGCATTGTTACAAATCCAGAAAGCATCTGGGTTTCCAATGCTTCTTGATCTGATCTTCCGTCTTCCCCAAAGATCTCCAAATTTTCCTCTTTATGCAACAAAAGATGGTCCCCCTTCTTCCTGCTGCTCAGTTATAGTACCTCGCCTCTTCACTCATCTCTACCAAGTCTCAGCCCTGTTGCTTCCCTCAAGACGATGCTCATTGATTGACTTAGATTTCCTTTTGTCATCTTGTCTGTAAAGCAGTGGTTCCTAGCCTTTCTAACGCTGTGCCCCTTTGATACAGTTCCTCCTGTTGCCTCAACCACAAAATTATTCCATTGCTATTTCATAACTGTAATTTTGCTACTGTTGTGAATCGTAATATGAGTATGTGATATTCAGGCTATCTGCCATGTGACCCTAAAGGAGTCTCAGCCCACAGTTGGGAATTGCTGCTGTAGGTGATGGGCCAGTGGCAATAAGACCTACGAATCTCTATCATTCTGGTGCATTAACTAGCATTACTGTGATAGGAAAAGCACACCAACATCAGAAAACATAAGGAGCGACCAAAAAATGAAATATAAAAAATGTTTGTTGCAGATAGGAACACTGTAGACATTTGCTTTTCTGACCCTGGCATTCCTTAAAAACGGGTCCCATACTCCTGTATTACTGGGCATCAGTATGTCTACAGCAAAGTCCACTCACATTTTTGTTCATGAACTTAAATGTTATTTGTGCAAGTACAATCCTTTCTAAATATTAGAAATTGCAACAAGGTCTGATCATTGAAAACAGTATTTTTAAAACAATTTTTAATTGTAAATATGTTTTACTGCATTCTTTTCTACCCCCAAGTTTCTCCCCTTACCTCCCCATCCAACTTTAAGTTCTTTTTCAAAAAACAACTCCCCAAGCCCCTCAAACCTAGAAAATAAAATACAGCAACACCTAAAAGAACAAAACAAAACCGTCAAACTAACCAAATAAAAGCACACAAAACAAACTGTGGAGCCCATTATTTCTTGGTTATGGAAATGAGAAATCTTACCTCAATAATGATACCTATTATGCTGTTACTAAATATATGATACATTATAAACTATCTTAAAAGTCTATTGTGCTTGGCTAAACACTGCTGCTCTACAAGGTGTATGTATATATGTGTATGAATACATTAAAACATTATCTACCATAAATATTCATAATTTTTCTTGTTAGTTGAAAAGAAAAGATAATAGTAAACTCAAAGGTTATATGCAAAATAGTCAGTTGTATAATATGATAAGTTAAGAATTAAAAAAAATACCAGAATTTAGGATCTCAGTACTTCCAGTAATTAGGCGATTAAGAAATTTTCGGGGGCTGGAGAGATAGCTCAGCAGTTAAGAGTAAATTCTAGTTCAGATCCCAGCACCCAAGTCAGCCAGCTCACAACTGCCTGTCGCTCCAGTGAGCTCCAGAGGGATCCAAAGCCAAAACCTCTGGCCTCCTCTGCCACCTACACTCACATGCGTTCTCTCTCTCTCTCTCTCTCTCTCTCTCTCTTTCTCATACTCTACCTCATATGCACAGATAATTAAAAATAAAATAATCTTAAAAGATAAGAATAAATAAAAATTCTTTTGGTTCATAGTTCCATGAATTTTAAGACAGGTGTGGATTCATGTAATCAGTCACCACCATAGTGAAGATATAAGACAATTCCATCACACACACACACACACACACACACACACACATGCACGCATACACAATTCTGCCTTTTTGTCCTTTTGTGGCCTTATGCCCATCCCACCTCATCCAGGGCAGCATCCAGCTTCCTCTAATTCTGTTTTTATTATTTATTTTTAATCACTTCTTTTATTTTTGAGATTATGATATAATTACATCATTTCCTCTTTCCCTCCTCCCTCCAAACCCTCCCGCACACCCCTTCTAGCTCTCTTTAACTCATGGCCTCTTTTTTCATTAGCGTTGTTACATGCATATGTGCATATGCTGATATTGTTTTTCAATGTATTCCTTTGATAGGATACTCATCCGGACCATCAAGACATTCTGAAAGCCATCACAGCATTCAAAGCACTCATGGTACGTGGCACTCTCAGACTGTCATTCTCCATTTTGTATACTTTGTTGCTGAAAGAATGGTCTGTGTGTAACAGTTCTTTCTTTCAGCAGAGGTCCTCTGGATGGAACCAATAAGCTCTCAGGACAGTAGTTCAGTGATTGTTACATTTGGTTTTGTTCTCTGCAAATCATGCTTACCTATGAAAGGCTGCCAGACTGAGGGTATAAAGCAATCACATTTGAAAGGCTTGGCCACATTAAGCATTGATGTGTAGGTGGGGGGTTTCCTTTTTTTTTTCTTTGTCTTTACCCCCATTGCTCACCTTAGGTATGTATAACTTGTCATTCTCTGATTGGCATCAATACTGGATTTCACTGTTTATGCCAAAATATGTGAATTCGTTCTTTGCATATGAAAAAAGGAATCTTTCCTAAAAGAAAAAACACATTGTACTAAAATGTAATTGCTTAATATAGATTGCTACCCGAGGTAGCTATCATCTTGCATCTCGAGAATCAAGGTTAGCCTGTCTCCTTGAACCCACTGATGTAAAACCTTTGATGCCATTTCAGAAGGAAAAAAAAAACCCTTTATTTTGAGCAATGTGTTAAATTTAGATATATTTGACATTTCTAAAGCCTTCTGTGGGATTTGACCAATGTTTAGCTTTTGATCCTTGCTAGAAGGTGACTACATAGCCCTCCTCGGCACTTCACTTTTATTGCTTCTGAAAGGTAAATAACTGAGGTGCCAGCGCTTCAAGGGAAAGCTGAAGAGCAGGCAAGGCCTTGGGATATATTTGCACCTGTTGTCAGGCAAAAGAAGTAAAAAATACCTACAGTCTTACATGGCTCAGCTCAGTAGAACAGCTCACTCAAGCCCATGGGTGGCGTGGCACTTGTTGCTACCTGGATCTCTTTGATGCATTCTTCTGTACATGAACACAGAAGACCAGAGGGTCCAGTTCAAAGTCAGAGCCTCAGTTACACAGTGAGTTCGAGGCCAGCCTGGGTTGTACGAGACCCTGTCTGAACAAAGGAGACTAAAATACACCCCTGTAACAGAAAGCAAACGTGCTTCTTGTGTTGGAAAACTCGCTTCTATAGTGGTCATATGTTTACTGCAAATACATATGCTTAAAATCTGTATAATGTATTTATTCCTTAAAGTCTTAGTTAAATGATGCAACAGATTTTTTCCCAAAAAGTATTATACATTCATGTGGACAAAATAGCATAATGAACCATTTGCTTAGACTTCAGTTATTCATTTTGAAATGAGTACTGCTAAATTACTCTAAGATAGCTTTACTCTTCTGAAACAGGTTTTATATCCCTCTATATATTTCATGTCCCACATAGTATTGGCAGACTGTTTCCTGATTTGAATTTCCAATTTAGTCATCATGAAATCCACTTGGATTTGTTTCCCTCCAATCCCTTTAGGAATAAAAATCAGTTTAGTGTTTTGCTAGGCACTGTTGCCCCCTAAACAAAGTCAGGACAGTGCATGTGTTTCATGATAAACTCAGATGTGCTGTGACATAAAAAACATTCTTTTTGCCATTCTCTGTTTTTAAAACTCAGAGAGTACTTTCTCTCCATTTTTCTTATCATCAAGTTGATACCTTGTTAGAGAGTGAGCATAGATCATATAAATGAAATCATGTAGTAATTACAGCCCTATTTGCCCATGGCAGCAAAGGGCTGGTTGCTGTCTTCGCTCTACTTGATGGTACTCTGCGCCTTAACTCTCCACACTCTTCACGGGGAGGGAGCAATAAGCCCCTTCTTACTGCTCCATCTTGATTTCTTGGCAAAATGGAAGCTCTCCTTTCTCCCTATAGCATTGAGAGGCTCAAAGCTATGTAGTGTATTTGTTTGTCTGGCAAGAGCACGGATGGTTATAGAATTCAGGGCAAGCATTAAAGGGCTTCAAGGAGTCAAAAAACGTACCTTATTTTGAACTTGCTTTGGGTCTGGGAGCTTTCCCCATCTCTCTTACCAGAATCACTTTTGCATCTGTAGGGGCAGTGCCAAGATCTGAGAAAGAGAAAACAACTGGAATTGCAGATCCTTTCGGAACCTATTCAGGCATGGGAAGGAGACGATATTAAGAGCCTGGGGAATGTGATCTTCATGTCGCAAGTGATGGTGCAGTACGGAACCTGTGAGGTCAGCCCTCGCCATTGCTGCTCTTATACTTTCCTTTCCTTTACTTGTTCTTCCATCAAGGGCAACTGGGGTAGAGGGAGAGGGAATAGAAAATATAGGGTAACTTTGAGGCACATTTAGATGGCGATATCAACCGAAAAGGGTGGCTTATGGGATGCAGAATATGGCAGCTACACTTTAGACCTGCCGGATTTCACAAGACCCTTGGTGTCTATCTGCATGGAGATGCCCTGTGAGCAGCTTTTTATGCACTATGGGAATGTAGGTGAGAGGTCCGCATTCAGGACAGATGTACCTTTCTAGAAAGTACTTATCCAAAGAGAAGCACAGAGGTCCTCTTTCTCTTAGGGACCAGGGTAGGAAAGACATATCATGCCACCTGGTAGGATTTATTGGATGTTAGCATTGTCTCCCCCTCCATAAACACCTTCCTATACTGTCTGATGTGCTTGTGGCAAAGATTCATTACTGTGGGTTGGTAAGCAATCTCATTAAAAATGCAGATACCCTGGGGAAGGTTAATGCAGTAAGGGTAACTATTAGTCATTCATATCTTTGGGATAAAATCCTTGGGTGAAAGGAGGGGGAAGCATTGTGGGACTCTGTAGGGGAATAGAAAAGAACTGGGGGTTGTAGTGTCACTGAAATTCCTGGAGGAGTAATTGAAAGTGGCCAGCAAGCTTAGTGTTCTGGAAGGTTCAGAGGTCAAGGAGTGTAAGGAAAAAAAGAAGCCATCGGATTTTGCTAGAAGGCAGTTATTGATGAGTTTGAGAAAGCGGGGGGAGGGGTGCAATTAGCGAGGAATCAATGGAGAGAAAATGAGGGCAGCAAGTGATTTGGCCATAAGATGTCAAGAAATGAGATATTATGAATGAAGAGCCACATGGGGTGAGCAAGGGCCTTAAGACGGCGATGAACATATGTTAAAGGCAAAAGAGGAGGAACTAGTTAAACAGGAAAGGCTGCTGAAGAAGCGCAATGTCTGTGGAGGGGAAACGAGACAAGAGAAAGATGGGAGAGTTGTTCTACCAGTTCTAAAGGTTCGCTCTATTCAAGTGGGGAGGAAGATAGCTGTGAGAATAATTACGTCAAATGGGTTTTTTTTTTGGTTTTTTAAGACAGGATTTGTTTTGTGTAGCCTTGGTTGCCCTAGAACTAGCTCTGCAACCAGGCTGACCTTAAACTCACAGAGTTACACTTGTCTCTGCCTCAGGATGGACTTTTTGTACCTATTAATTTTGACTCTGTTAAGGGGATCAGAGCGGCCCTATGTGTTAAGTTTATTTTAGTGCAATCAAAACCTATAGTTGACAATAATGCATTATAATAATCTTAAAAGAGCTAGAAGAGAGAGTTTCTTTTCACTAATAAGCAGTTTATCCGTTGGTTTGTTTATCATGTATGCACATATGTGCATTGGGCAGAAGACACTGGGAGGGGTTGATTCTCTCCTTCGGCCACATGGGTCCTGAGAATTAAGCTCATGTCTTCAAATCATTCACCAGACCTGCTGTCAGATGAGTCGTGATAACACCAGCCCACTGGCCCTAGAAAGGACTTTGAGTATGCTTGTCAGGAAGAATTGACAAAGTTTAAGATAGAAGACACACTAATAACTTGGATTTGGTCATTGCATAATGTATAGTGTATAATGCAATGCCACATTGTTTGTTATAAGTGTGTACAAATATGTTATGTGCCAATCCAAAAAAAAAGAACCATGAAATTGGCCTGAGGGTGAAGAGGACAGTGGATTTAGTATGCACAAGGCCCTGTGTTGTATTTCCAACATCATACACAGAGACCAAATAATCCACACCAGTTTTTAAAAATGTATTTACATCTTTGTCTTACACATCATACAGTAACTATCTCTCTCTGTGTGTATGTGTGTGTGTGTGTGTTCATATGTATGCTTTTCAGAGGAGGCTGGAGGTTGATAATAAATGTCTTCCTCTATTACATTCCAATTTTATTTCTTACTTTAACTGGAGCTTACCGATTTTTGTCTAGACTGGATAGCCAATAGGCCCCTAGATCCCCTTGGCTGTGACCCTACAGCACTCAGTATTTTAGATGCTTGCTGCTATGCTGGGCAAATACCTGTTTGCTAGGAATCCTAACCCAGGCCCTCATGCTTGAGCAGCAGTACTTTAGCCACTGAGTCCACAATTATCCTACTGTTAATGATTAGAAGTAATTTAATGACTGGAAATATTAGAAGACTATAAATTTATTTTTTATTTATTAAAAAAATTTATTTTACAACCTAATCTGTTTCCCCTCCCTCCTCTCCTTCAATTTCCTCTCCCCACCCTCCTTTATCCTCCTCCCCTCCTCCTCTGTTCAGAAAGGGGCAGGCCTCCCATGGGTGTCAACAAAGCCTGGCACTTCAAGTTGAGGCAGGACCAAGTCCCTCCCCACTGCATCAAGGCTTGGCAAGGCAACCCAGCATGGCGAATAGGTTCCCCAAAGCCAGCTCAAGCACCAGGGACAGGTTCTGATCTCACTACTAGGAGCCCCACAAACAGACCAAGCCACACAACTGTCACACACAGGTAGAGGGCCTAGTTTGGTCCCATGCAGGCTACATTGTTGTTGGTCTGGAGTCCGTGAGCTCCCACGATCTTGGGTCAGCTGTAACAGACCATAAATTTCTTATCTGCTGAAATCAGCTTCACTTAGCTACTATTCGAAGTAAAGTTATATTTTAGTTACGGGGAATTTTGAGACAGAGTTACTTTGTGTCCGGAACTAGCAGTCACACTGTTCCAGAATCTGTGTGGGTTCTGATCCTCACACACTCCGGGAATAATCACATACTTGTTTGGCACTTTTGAGTTTTATCTTTTTATCATTTTATAATTCACTGCCAATGCTCAGGTCGATGACTAGGTAAGGCCTGTATTTTTTTATTTCAATAACATTTTTTTTCGTTTATTTTACACACCAACCAGTTTCCCCTCCTTCCTCCTCTCCTGTCCCCTTCCCTCTCCCCATACACCCCTCCTGTGCACTCCTCCTCTATCTCCATTCAGAGAGGGCCAGGCCTCCCATGGGCTTGCACAAGGCATGGCACATCTAGTTGAGGCGGGACTGAGCTACTTCCCTCACATGGAGGCGGGGCCAGGTAATCCAGCACGGGGAACAGGCTACCCCAAAAGCCAACTAAGTGCCAGGAAGAGGTCCTGCCCTCACTGTTAGAAGCCTTCCTAAGAGACCAAGCTACACGATTGTCACACACATGCAGAGGGCCTATGTTGGTCCCGTGCAGGCCCCATGACTGTTGGTCCAGCGTCCATGAGCTGCCAGGAGCTCAGGTCAGATGTCTCTGTGGGTTCCCCAACCTTGACTCCCCCGGCTGGTACAATGCCTCCTCCCTTTCTTCCACAAGACTCTTGGAGCTCAGCATAGCGCTTGTCTGTGGATCTCTGTAAGGCCTGGGTTTTGAAGCAGTGCTTGCGGGTGGTCCTAACAAAAATGGTTCAATGATTTCCCGTTCATGATTTTCATTCTACTTCAGGAAAAAGAGGAGCGATATTTTATGCTGTTTTCAAATGTCTTGATAATGTTGTCTGCAAGTCCTCGGATGAGTGGCTTTATCTATCAGGTGAGTAGCTCCGAATGAAAGAAATGAGCAGAGGCCAGATGCAAACAGGTTTCTCCTCAGACGTGATATAGGCACCATGGCATTTGGAGCTCAAGCCGGCAAAGGGGAAATGTTCGAAACCTTCTATAATGAACCTGCTTGTGACAACAGATGTTCTTGAGATCACAGACCTTTGTCGTCACATAATCCTGTCCCAGCTATCTGCTGCTCCACGTATGAGCTAAGTTTCCAGTTGTGTAAATAGAAATCTAAATCTATGATTGGATAAATTAGTAACAACTGTTTACAGACCCGTCTGGGTACTGCTGAATGCCACAAAGCTGGGACTTTATCCTGTGATTGTTATATTGTAGATATATTAAATTATTTGGGCTTGTAAGAAGCTGGTCCTTAAATGCCTTAGGGGATGAAACCTCCCTCAGCCTGTTTCCAAAATGTAGACCATTATGCTGTGATTCTCTGTTATATGTGGTCCTGGCCATTACTCCCTTTCATAAAATGTGGGCCTTTGCTTTTCAGTTCATATAAAAATACGGTCGAAAGCAAACTGTTTGAAATCGTGTGCTTAGGATTTAGGGTGCATTAGCCAAACACACACTTCTCCCTTGCTTTCTTTTCTAATTGAAATCTAGACTAGGGCAGTATTATCTATTGTCAGACTAGTGAAATATGTCTAGCCATGTGGTTTCTGGGAAGATCAAAAGTATGAGAGAAATATGTACAGTCACAGAATTAATAAGAATGTTCTTTCTTCTGCTAGGGAAAAATACCAGTAGCAGGGATGGTGGTGAATAGAGTAGATGAAATTGAAGGGAATGACTGCACATTTGAAATCACAGGTATGCCCTTTTCTCCTTCTCATGTACCTACTTCAGATCCTTTTTGGAAGCAAGTGGAGTTTAAACAAATAAATGCTATTCTTTTCTCCCATATAGCCCCTAATCAGGTTTGACAGGGATATGGCAAAGTCCTTTCCACTCCCCAGGACAACTAGAGTAGACTAAGAAAACAATGAAGCTTCTTGTCATTTCATAGCCTCGGCTTTGCCATTACTTTCCATCTTTTCTTGTATCAAAGCTACTTGTGAGAACTGGAAAATAACAAAATGGACCGACCTTCTCCTTCTCTGTCATGTGGTCCATGGTGGCCAAGAAGCCAAAGGGGTGGACTTTTGTCTCCAATCTTATCAGCCGGTAAACTGGCAAGGTGTGGTTGTGTTCTAAATAGCCGTGAAACTTTCTATACAAATTAAGCCCAATATTCAAATTCTCTCTGACATTTTAGGCTATTGTCCCCTTTGCCAGGCCTCTGTGATTTCCTTGTAATGGCTGTACTTGTACGTGGATGTCACAGTGGTGAAAACAGTGTTAACGTCCTTAGACCTTATCAAACCCTGTATTCAGCACTAAGGAGCCTATAATTTGGTATTATTTTTTAACTGGTTTCAACTACGTGTTGTTCTATCTTGGACACTGGGCAAACCAGTGCTATAGTCGTGGACTAGGCTATGGACTAGATAGCCAGTTAGTGCACTTCCAGTTTTAGATTGCAAGTGTGTTTGTTGTGAGGTTTTATGCTGTGTCTAAGATTCTATAAAGTGATAGGAATCCATGAAGGTTTTAGAAATAAAAATGAATAATCATTTGCCATATTTACAACTCCTCTGTTCCGAATACTGAAGTTTGAAAGGGTTATTTCATAGAAAGGAAGACTCCTGAAAGTAGATGCCCAACTGAAGTACGCTTGTGAGTAAGACACAACCTTGTGTTTGGTTTCTAAATGTTCATACTTGGCCGATCCAGGTAACATGATAGAGAGAACTGTGGTCTATTGCAACAATAGCCAGGACTTCCAGGAATGGCTGGAGCAGCTGAACAGACTGACCAGAGGACCAGCCTCTTCCAGCTCATTGTCTAAGACCTCGTCATCATCCTGTAGTGGGCATTCTGTAAGTAGTTCCCTGGGACTCGTCAAGTACTGGGATGAGCGAAGTGGTGGGACTATTGAAGTATTAGGGATTATTCAAGTTTTGTCGGACGTTGCCTGCTAAAGCCTTCTAAAAATCCGCAGCGAGCATGCCCTTTGACTTTGGGTGGTCTCTGTAGATTTTGAAGTACAGTTAAACCTCACTAATTCTGATTTCTTATTATTGTGAGGCCCATTGAAATTAATAAAGTATTTCAGTTAAATATGTGTGATTTTGGTCAGCAGCAGTCTTAGGTACTCAGCTAACCGCTAGTCAAGTGTCTCCCACCAGAGGACCTTCTAAGAGGATTTAATGATAAACAAGATTTATTTGTTTCATAACTGTTATTCTCGCCTTAATCACATGCCACGTCAAAGCAAGTAGTTCACCTCTCTGAATGCCTAAAATCTTCATGTAATCTTGTGCACACTTTCATGTCTGCTCAGTAACCTGCATGAAAGGTAAACACTCAGCATTGACATCTGAATTCTCGGAAATCTAGAATCTATGGAGTTGGAGTTAATGAGATTTTACTGTACTTGCTGGGTGAAATGGAAGCTTTCCTCGGTTGTCTGTTAACGCTCCACCTTGTAATGCCAATATCCCTATTCTGAGTGCTGTGTGTCGTGGTGGTGGAACATAGGCTTTGGCATCAAGTCTGGGTTCAAATCTTGTCTTTGCCATCTTCTAGCCAGTCGCTTCGCTTCTCTGAGCCTGTTGTTGTCTACTCTGACAAAAGAGCCCACTTAAGAATCTAACTGAGTGCCAAACACATCACTGAAACTCGAATGGTTTCTGTTGTTCCACTTTCCTCCCTTACAGAGGACACATTTCCACTGTAAATGGAATTGCAGAAAGGAGAGGACAGGATCATGGAACGCCAAGTCCATTTCTAATGTTGTTTAGAAACTGTTAAGTTTTCCGACTGGACAATTTTACTATTCCATCTTCCCCCTTTGTGTCTGGCTTTGCTGATCCAATGGAGCTATTGCCATTTTCTCACTGCGTGGTACCAGGTCGGGTTCAGATGGCAGATTGCCAGCATCTCATGAGACATTTTCCCAGTCTTTTAGCTCTACTGGACAGCCCCGAGGACCCTTGGAGCCTCCTCAAATTATAAAACCGTGGAGTTTAAGTTGCCTACGACCTGCACCTCCACTTAGACCATCAGCAGCACTAGGTTATAAAGAGGTAATTTTGCTACATATGATATAAAATGCTTCTGACAAGCTAATTTTAGAGCTTATCGCAAATAGTTCAGAGAGAATATGCTAGAATTTATGATAGGATATAATGATATATATATACACATACAAATGTGTATATATATATATCAGTCTTGAATTGCTAGATTCAGTGATTGTTTCTTAATTTTCCATTTCCCTGTTCTCCATCTACAGACATTGATGGAACTGAGCAGTTCAAATGCTTCTCTAGTCTATTTAAGTTCCTCCGTTGTCTCTCCACATGGCAACAATAATTCTTTAGTTAACTATGTACACACGTCTCAAAGCAGAAGCGCTTCATTGAGAGCTGCTTTTCCAATCAAACACCCAGTTCTGCACTCGTGGCATGTTGTTCAATGAAACCCAGTCAGTAAAATGTCATGAGACCAAGCCATGTGTCTCAACTAAGAAAGCAGAGTCTGCTGTAGTGAGAAGAAGAGAAGATTGTAATTAGAGGAATGCCTTTTTATAGAGAGGCTTCTCTCAGTTTCAGCCTCCCTCACAGGGCATCTGATATTTGCCTCGTGTGCTGCCAAGATCTACCATGACCAGGGTGTCTGTCTGGTCCTTTTCTCTAGAAGGGCAGTCAAGGCGCGGTAGTCTCTAGCTCCCAGAACTACTCAAGTTACCTTTTCCACCGAGTGAGGTTCCCCCTTATTTATTTCTAATTATTTCTTATTTCAGAGAACATGCTCATTTATTAATAACTGCTCCTAAGGTCTTGTTGTATGAAGCATAGTTGCTGACAGTTACAATTCTCTGTCCCTTGTGTTTTGATCTTAGAGACTACTCAGTTTGGAGTGTTTTTTGACTTGAGCAACCATGCTTCTGCTCCAATTCATTGTTGCCTCCATTTCTCAGAGTGATAAAACAGAACAATATATAGATGCTGGAGGATTTTTTTTTAACTCTTTCAACTGGCTGATAGGAGGCATGACTCGAGCATTTTTTTTTAAATAACTTCAGAATTTGGGCAGGAAGTGGTTTCACAGGTTTGCTTTGAAACTGACCTGCAACCATTCATCTCTCTTTGATAACTTAAACCAGGAGTGCCACTTCATAGTATCCTATTCCCCTTTTTAATAATGGACATGTTGCAACTGTCAGTTACTAAACTCATACCAAGGTGAGCTCTGAAGGGTAAAGTTGGCTTAATCCTTCACATAACTAACCCATTAAAACTAAGGCATGATCACTGTGTTTCTGCTGGGGGAAGAGAGTTATTAATATATTCTTGCTATGTACTGTGCATTTCGGTGATTTTCCGGCATTTGTAATTCTGCACAGAACTGGATTCTTTGGACTTTTGCATGAGGATATTGCATCTGAAACTAATGTGGGAATTGTGGTGATATTCTCTCCATGTAATTTATGATAACACTAACATTTCAAATATTGTTTTAGAATTATTGATAAATGGATTTGGTCATTATAACCATCGACCTCTCACGCTCATCTTCTCTTTCTTTACATATTCATTTTAGAGGATGTCTTATATCTTAAAGGTAAGGGTAGAACAGTGACATCGTAATGTTGTTGTGCTGTAAACTTTGATGAATGAAGCTTTCCTTTATGCTTGTTTTGTCCCTTGCTATATAATTGGCTAAAATGTGAAGATGCAATTCTGACATGTAAGTACTTTCTTCAAAAGCAGGCTTGTGTTTGATACGTGCAACATGTTACTTTATATATCATGCCTTTAAGATGCTCATTTTCCTATGTTTTTAATGCTAGCTTTTCCTCCTTTTTTTTTAAAAGCACGTGTGGTTTTTCATGTTTGTCTCTTTTCAAGTCTAAGTGGACCACTGTGGCTAAGTGAAGGCAATTAAATTACTTGTTTCGTATATTTTAAAGTACTAATTATTATTCCTGTATTAGATAGATATATTCGTACATACATAGATGATGGGCAACATGTAATGTCAGGATAATACCTTGGGATTTGAAGTGTAAGACTGTAAGAGTCCAATCTGTTTACTTTCATATTAACATTGAACTGTTTTTTTAATTACTAGTTATGCATATGACAAAACCCAAACTCACTGGTTTTCATCTCCACTGGGTACTAATTAAAAGTGTGGCTTTGGCTGTATATAATCGAAAGTTATTTGTCAGAAAACCCTTCATGAAATTCTCCTCTCTGAGAGAATAACGTAGACTCTCCACCTTAATTTTCCCATCCAACTGACAGGAATTCTAGTTTTCTTTGTTGGACTGCGTTAAACAAAATTTGCTCAAATAGTTTTAAACTCTTAGAACAGAGACACATGTTCTGACAGTAGTTACATCTTCATATCATCCATGGGGAACATCAACCAAGTTATGAATTCTGGTACTCTTCTGGGGTTGAAATTCCATTACTCTTGCTGCAGATGGTACCCTAAAGGCACTGACCCTTCCGCACAATCTGCATCCTTCTTCATTCTTATTCTCATTCCTATGGCAACTGAGAGTGGAATGTGATTGCCTGTGCTTTGTTGAACCTTTTCAAGTTTATTGAAGCCATTTTTAGTGTGTGTAATCTAAAATTCTGACACTTTCCTAATGGATGCTATCGCGATGAGAGATGCATTCGGACTCATTTTATTGGCTCTATTTTGATTTCTATTTGGGAGAGAATGTTAATTCACAGAGAAACTGTTATCCTTACAGGAATCTAGTAAGAGCCCCAAGACAATGAAGAAGTTTCTTCACAAAAGAAAGACGGAGAGAAAAGCCTCTGAGGAAGACTACGTGATTAGGAAAAGTAAGTGTTCCGTACGTTTGCCAAGTTATTTATGCGTGAACACAAACATGAGAATTTTTTAAAAAGCAGATAATTAGAGCAGTTTGTTCTTGGCATCAGCTGTTATAAAAATATGTGGAAAATTTGGTTACTTCTAAGACTTCTGAATAAGCTGTCCCCCGCTGCCCTTCCAGATGACTCTACCGTTTTCCTGCTGCAGGACACTTCACTCCACCTGGTTTAGCCCCCCCCCCATGGGGCCCATTTGCTATGGACATATTTTTTCCCTTTAAATTTCTGATGCTTGAGATATTTTCTGAACAAATAGACTAAATGGACTGGAGGACAGAACTCCTTCTGGCAGTCTAGTGTTCAGGGATGTTCTCAGATGATCCCGGAGTCAGTCTGATGACATTCGGAAAGGGCGTTTTATCTAGAGAGTTGATAAAGTCAGTCAAGTGATAGGCCTGTATTTGGCTCTAAAATTGTGAACAAGGAGTCAGTGATGCAGCAGCATTGCATGTACCAGCTGCAAGTCTAGCCTGGATCAATCTTTGCTGTGGCTAGGGGCATAGTTCAGTTTACAGAGTGCTTGCGTTGCAAGCACAGAGTGCCACATAAGCCAGGCACGGGCGGCATGTTCCTGTAAACCCCACTTGGGAGGTGAAGGTAGCAGCAACAGAAGTTCACGTTTATCCTCAGCCTGGGTTACATGAGACCCTGTCATAATATAATAATATAATGTCAGATTAAAAGTAAATATTTGCTGAACTCCAATTCCTGCAACCCCAGTCCTATCCACAACTAACCTTATTAGTGGAGCATTGCCATCTGAGCATTTAAAGACTGAGATGGAGGGGGGGGAGAATTAATGATACACTGGCTGGTTGAGAAGATAAGCGGGGTTAATAGGGCAAAGCTCTTAAAGAAGGCAAGCCTTGAAATGTAGTCACCAGGATGGCTTTGGTATACTAGATGAGCGCTGAAGCCAACTCCAAGCCCCAGTGCTGTAATTTTAGTCTTCAAGAGATGACTGATAGAACCCCCACTAATTTAGAGTTCTGAACTTCAGGAGTAGCCCCTGCTCCTGAGTACTGACCCCCGAGCTCTTGGGGTTACTGGTGGTATCACTCTTTTGTCCTGGGAGGCTTGAACAGATGTTTGCCTGCCTTTCAGAAACATTGCGAGTCCTTGGCAGTGATGGGCACAGCATCATTTTGAGTGTCCGGGGTCATATATCTGTGAGAAGTCATTACTGATTCAATTTGACAGGTACAGCTGCTCTGGAAGAGGACACTCAGATTCTTAAGGTGATTGAAGCCTACTGCACCAGCGCCAGTTTTCAACAAGGTAATGATGGTTCCAGTAGAATTCCCCACACTGCTTTCACTTATGAACGGGGTTTGTTCTTTGCTGTTCACTGTCTCTTAGGGGGCATAAAAGAGCCTCGGTGCAGCTCAGTTGCAGGGTGTGGAAAAAGCATGTGGCTCAGGGCAGAGCAGAGGCGCAGGGCTAATCTTCCAGATAAGCTGCTTTTAGCTACTGGGGCTTTGTTTACGCACTGGTGCTTTTCACCCAGAGACACAGAGAGATGTAAGAGGAAAAAAGCTGGAGGTGAGAGAAATGAAAAGGACTTTTAAAAAAGTCACTCTCTTTTGATCTACCCAGATACCTTCACCAGCACTAGTTAGGAATTAAAGACCCCAGAGAGTTCCTGTGTCTGCGAACTGATGCTAATCTCATTTTATAGGCAGAATTGAAAAGGAAGTCAAAATACTATCTTTCATCAGCTATGTATTGAAGGGAAGGATGCTACACCAGACTTGGGTTTCAAAGCTGCTCTGAAAATCTGGAAATGTAGTTGCACACCTGAGGCCCTTCAAAATGTCTAAAGTGTCTCGAGGAGCTGTTAGGTGAATGTGTTTCCCTACAGTTTTCAGGTGATGCCCTGAGAGCTAGATGCTACCTTCTGGCGAGTCCTTGTGTCTCTTCCAGTCCAAGTCCCATTGACTATAGGTATAGGACACCCTTTAGAAAGTCTCTCATATTTGCATCAGGACCAAATGTCCCAGAGTGCTGTATTTTTCACAGCTACTGACCAGCTGCTTACTTGATATGAGAGGGCTTTCTTAGGAGACTGCCTTGACACACTCTTTGAAGGGAGCACGTCTCACCAGCTGTCACAAGAGGAGAGCATCTGATGTGGAAATCAATACATTTCACCACGAGCAGGGACAGTAATCTGCCTGTGGTTTCTGGCATGCTCAGTCCTTAATAGCAAGTTTTGATGAGCTGGGAGATGAAAGAGAGAAGTTTTTATTGTGGAAGCTAGGGTGAAGGCAGGGATGAGGCGACAACAGAGGAGCATCCCTCAAAGGAAACCCAGCCTTACCTCACCTCTGGACCACTGGTTTGCCTAGATGTAGAGTCCATCCTAGTACTTAGAGGTGAAAGCTCAGGCATGTGACCTGACCTAAAGATGCACAGTTTTGTTCCTCCTCCCTCCCCTCCCTTGTACTTGTGGGAAGTATCTAATGCCATGCTTGACGTTCAGATGTAGCCACATTAGCCTCACCATGGCCCTCCATTTCACCCCGGTCAAATGTCCTGTTTCCCTAGAACCGATTCATCTTGACATTCCGTATCCATCCATCCATCCATCCATCCATCCATCCATTTGTCTTCTGCATACTAATTAAACACTGCGAAGAGCTATTCACTGAACATGGAGACATCTCACCTCTGGGAAGACGGGAGTTATCAAATAGAAACAGTGAATGCATGCACCTCTGAACGATGTTGTTCTAAAACAGAACAGGCCAGTGACCCAGGCAGACCAAAGATTAAGTTCTTGAGCTCAGAGAGACAGGCTCTAAATTGAGCGGTGGAGAGGTTGAAACTACCCGTCCCATCTTCTGCCCCAGGCTGTAGAGACAGTGTGGGCAGAGAGCAATGAGGAGACCTGAGTTTTGTTGCTGATATGATGATCTCCCAGGTCCGCTCTACCCACGGTCGAGAATAGCTTACTGCCACTCTGCATTTCCCTAGAGGGCTCCAGAAGGAGCGAATGCTGCTTCAGAAGCCCTTTCAGCGTGTCGTAGCCCAGAGTAGCGCTACTCCCGGCCCAGTCTTTACTCCCTCCCTGATCATGGGACGTGGTGTGCGGCTCCTGGAGGAATGCAGAGATGGGGTGACCAGTGGTCTCTTCTTTACTCTGGGGAAGTCTTAGCACATCAGTCCCCCTTCCTGAAGAATATGTGACATCATTTGGCCATTTAGAGTTCTCCCTGTCAGGAAAATTGAAGAGTGGCTTGACTGCCTTCTGAGTGCAGGGGTCTGAAGAAAGTCGCTGCAGCAGCAGTGGCAAGGACTACGGCAGCCTTGGCTAAGCACTCCCCACCCCCTCTCTATGCATCTTCACTTACAGGCACTCGGAAAGATTCTGTCCCACAAGTGCTACTCCCTGAGGAAGAGAAACTCATTATTGAAGAAACCAGAAGTAACGGGCAGACCATCATCGAAGAAAAGTGAGTAGAGAAAGTGACCCCTTTCTTGACATATCTGGGGCCTGCCAGTAGGTGTGGCAGGCTGTCTTAGGGCTTCTGTTGCTATGATGAAACACCTTAACCATGAACAGCTGCAGCAAGAACAGTGCTCAGTTAAGCTTACAAGTCTCGGGTCAAACTCCAGCACTGAGGGAAATCAGGACAGGAATTCAAACATCCTGGAGGCAGAAGGTGATACAGAGGCCATGGAGGGGTGCTGCTTACTGGCTTGCTCCTCATAGCTTGCTCAGCCTGCTTTCTTATAGAACTCAGGACCACCAGCCCAGGGATGGCATCACCTACAATGGGCTAGGCCTTTCCACATCACTCACTAATTTTTAAAAAAATGCCCTACAGACTTGCCCACAGGCCAATCTAGTTGGGGCATTTCCTCAATTGAAGCTTTCTCTTCCAAGATGACTATAGCTATGCCAAGTTGACATAAAACTAGCCAGCACACAGATCCTTCCTCAAAGGTCCCTTCTTTCTCTTCCCTCTTCCTTCTTCTTCCTACTCTCCCTTTCTTTCTCTTTCCCATCGCTCTCTTCCTCTTCCTTCACAAAAAGGGCCTTCTCTGCTAAGCATGCAGTTGGGAGCCCCAAGAGGGCAGGAGGAAAGGCAACAGGAACGGAGGTCTAGAAGCCTCCTGCTTCCCTGTGGAGTAAGCAGCTTCCCAGTACTGGAGATCTCCAATTCACATGGTGTATCTGGAGGTACCCAGGAAGGCCTTAGCTGGCATCCTCCTGCCCACAGCATTGCTGCTCACATCTTTCCAGTCAGGGGCCACGTTTCTCACAGCTGATCTCTTGTAAAGTCCTAAAACATTCTGGCGAAGAAGGCATCACTTTCAAAGATGAAAAAAAAATAGGTTCTGGGGAACTGTGTCTATGACCCACCTTTCACAATTATGAGTGTGACTTAAATGGGGGTGCAGTCAGCTTAAATACCTCCCAGCTCATTAAGAAGCACGGAGTGGCCAAGAACTCACTCCTGTATGCTTGAGTCATTTGTGAGGTCAGGGCTGAATTTGCATTGGCCGCGCCTCTCCCAGTGCTTCCCATTGTGGATGTGTTTTCACCTATGCTGTACGGGTAAAGCGCTTGGGTTCAAGAGAACAGGCCAAAGTCCCAGCTCTGCTCTGTTTGCTATGTATCGCCAGTGTCATCCTGGGCCAGTTCTTCCAGCTCTCCAGATGTGTTTTCCTCATCTGTAAAATATTTTCTGAGCTGTCGAGTAGTCAAATAAAGTAGCTATAAAGGTTGGCACTCAAAAATTAATAGCAAGTATACTAATTACTAATTGTTGTTATTAAGAACATTATTATTAATACTGTAATCATAATAGCCTGGTGAAGGCTTCAAGGAAGGTAGTATTGTCTCCATTTTACATGTAAAGAAAGCAATGGCTAAGACAAAATGAGAAAGAAACTGATTGTACAAGGGCAGAGTAATAGTAAGAGGCAGGATCAAAAGCAGGGCCTGGAGAGACGGCTCAGCAGTTACGAGCACTGACTGATCTTTAGGAGGGTCCAGTTTAGTTCTCAAGGCCCATGCTGAGCAGCCCACAACTGCTTGGGACTCCAGCACCAGGAAAGCTCGTTCGCTCTTCTGTCCTCCCTGAGGGTCTGCACTCACATGCACGTGAACACATACATCAACAATGAAAGTTAAATGTAAAACACCCTCATCTAAAACCTAGATCTTTAAATTCCTTAACGAGAAACAATTGGAGGTAAAAAAAATCCCACAGCTATCCAGGAAACTTTATCATTTTAAAACTTTATTATTTTTAATGTCCCGAGTCTCTGTCATGCGGGGTTAGCTAAATGGGAAGGATAATGCCAGAACATGGCTATCGCAGAGCACCCAGGGTTTTCTCATCCCACTCATTATATAGTAAGTACTATTTGCTCCTACTGTAAAGCGACAGCCATCAAAGCTTAGGATGGGAATCTTAAAAAGTTGAACTCATGGGATCAGAAAGTGGAGCAATGGTTTCCAGAGGCTTGGTGGGGGGAGAAAAAGTAGGTGATGTGCGTAAAAGAAACCTACAAAGTTTAATTATATAAGATGATAAGTAGGTTTTAGTCTATCAAATAAATATGCAGCCTAATGACTAAAGTTGACAATAATGCCTTTTATTCTTAACATTGACTAAGAACATAGATCTCCAGTGCTCTCAAAAGACACCTCAAACAGTAGACACAACCACATGTGGTGAGGGCTGTGTTAATAGCTTCACTTGGGGCAACATTTCATAAGACAAACTCCTCAAAGCATCATGTTGTATACTTTTAATGTGTACAGTTTTTATTTGTCAGTTATACCCTCAAATTGAAAAAAAAAGATACATTTTATGGCTGTTACCTGCTGTTTTCTGGCCACTCAAGCTGGAGCTGTGTGGGGAAGGAAATGCGTAGTATAGAAACGGCGCTGTAGCGTGGTGTTGAAATGGGCTTGTGTGACGAGAGCTTTTATCCGTTGAAGAGAAAGAATGTACATCAGTCAGACAGGGAGAGTCCCCATCAGCTAGAAACCCCACTGATACCCGTAGCTGTACATATGTAGAGTTGTGGCTTGCTCATTTATCAGCACTTCGGTACCAGCCATCCATCTCTGAATGTTCTCTGTATGTTTTAGGAGCCTTGTTGATACTGTGTACGCCTTGAAGGATGAGGTCAAAGAACTGAAGCAGGTAATGCATCATTAAAGTTAGCTTCTCAGGTAGCAGAATCGCTCTGGCTTCTTGGCCACCCACTGGGAATTGGTGTCAGGTAGAGTCCAGGAGCAAGGTACTGGGGTAGAACTTATATGATATAAGCCCAACTTATATCAGTTGGGCTTTATTTCTTTAATCACATGGCTTTGATATGTGCAGCAGATTCCCCTTTGTAGATACTACTTTCTCATTCCCTCACATCTTAAAAACATGTAAGCAAGCCCAGGTGTGGGGGCACCTGCCTGTAATCCTAGCTACCAGGAAGGTTAAGGCAAGAAGGTCGCGGATTTGCTAACCTGGGCTGCAAAGCAAGGAATGGAGCAATGAAGGAGAGGTGGGAAGAGGGAAAAGAGAACTGTCTTGGGTGGTTGATGAATTTGTTGGTGATGGGGTCCTAGGCTCCATCACTCCACCTATGTGATGAGACTGATTGTACCTGTGGCAAGGGGGAGGATAAGGAAGAGGAGAGTCTAGAGCCTGGAGGAGCACTTGTAGAGTTCTGAGCAAATTCGGGATAGGGCACAGCAACGTCCTGAAGTGAGGCGGACCAATGAGGCCGTGAGAAGTAAAGCAAATGGAAAGAGACATGCTAGAGCTGGAATTTACAGTACATGATGGCACAGTGCTGGAGTGAGGAGAGGAGACAATAGAGAAACTATTCCCCTGGGTGTCTATAGTGGGCATCCTTTCAGAGATTCAGAAGCTCTAGAAGAGGTTTGGGTTGATGGGGGGGCGGTGATACTAAGTGCCCTTTAGAACATAGTAAGTTTAAAGGGCTCATAATCTCCAGATTGACAGCCACCCTGGCATCGTCCTGTGAGTTTGGTACTCAGAAGATGAAACTGGCACCAGAGATATTTGGGAAGCCCCTTAATACACACTTGTACTGATAGAGAAGTGACCCTAGGTGAGAAAGTGTGGAACCAGGGCAGATCCAGTCTTAGGGAACACTTGTATTTAAGTGAGGAGTGTAGGAGGGCGCTCACTCATAGGCAGAAAAATCAAGACACAGCCTGGTCTCAGAATAAATAGAGTGAAGGATGAGGAGAAGGAGGAAGACGGGGAGAAGGTGGAGGAGGAGGCAGAGGAGGAGAAAGAGGAGAAGGAGGAGGAGGAGAAACCATGGGAAAGGCTGTCTTGGCTCAGGGATCAACAACTTCTTTCCCTTCTAGGAGAATAAGAGAATGAAGCAATGCCTGGAAGAAGAACTGAAGTCGAGGAAGGACCTAGAAAAACTGGTCCGGAAGCTGTTGAAGCAAACAGATGAGTGCATTCGAGCTGAAACCAGCAGCAAGACCTCAATTCTCCCATAACCGTCACTGTGCAGCTGAGCACTCGTTGAAATAGCCAGCTGAATTTGACTGTGCCCTTCAGCTTTTTTGTGTGTTTCTCTCTCTCTCTCTCTCTCTCTCTCTCTCTCTCTCTCTCTCTCTCTCACTGCTTGAGAGTTTGTTACTTGGTTATCAGTTGATTGATATTTGCTTTAACAGGGGAAGCAACCTGGGGTGGTGATAAAGTGGCCCCAATACTTTGCTATGCCCAACAGTCCTTCACTACCTAATTCGCTGAAGGCAAAGCTTCCCAGGCTACGTCTAGAGTAGGTGACAGTGAACGCCTTTGCCCAGTGCTCCAGCTGTACCTTTCTGGATTGTCACGTGGCTCCCTTCCATACTTTAACAATCATTGCCCTGCGTTGTCTGTTAAGACCAAGAACAGTGTAGGGTCCTCATTCCCTTTACACTGGTGTACATTTCCGTCAGTGGGGTAGGAACTCCAACTGTCCATCAGCAAACTGCTTCCGGCAATCCCCCCTTAGCAGCAGGGCAGAGCAGCTATTCCTAGTGCACCGTAGCTTGACAGCCCAGCCTTCTGCCTTTACGTAAGTTTTCTACCTCCCCACCCCACCCCTGTGCTTTTAGGCAGCCATACCCAGTGGTGTGTAAACTAGTGCGGGCGCGCTTTGCTTATTTTGTCAGCTACAACAAGCAGCGACTTTACCTTGACTATTCATACTACAACCTTTTCCTCTTTCTAAACAACCTGGGTGAAAAGACGCCATGTACACACCTTCCACCCTGTCTTATCGAGGCCCGGTTTCTGCAGTGAAAAGTTAGAATCATCATTGCCCTCTTTGGTGTAGGCCTTGAGTACGATGAGCCAGTTTGTATATCCTGAGCCAAAGCCCCACCATCACCAGCTGGGCTGCTTGCTAGTGCAGCTGATTGTCAGAAACTAGTTTTCTCAAGTTGGGCATAATGCCGAACCATTGGCTTTGTAAGTAGTCCAGAAATCTGAACTGTGAGAAAGGAGATTTAGAAGAGAGCCCCAGAAGAAGACTGTACACCTAAATTCACCACAAGTCAAAATGGTCCAAGGTGACAAGATGGGGCAGAGCAGAACTTGTCCACCTCCTCAGATGGTGGGGCAACTTGGACAGATGGCAAAGTCACTTTAAAGAGAGACTGAAAGCCAACAAAGTCTTCTATGTATGTGTGGTGCATGCCTGTAAGTGCTGTTTCAAAACCAAACTCGAGGCCTAGATTCTTATTGAGGAGTCCTTTGCTTTCTGGAATGGAGGCTCTCACAGTTTCCATGATTTCATGGTACAGGGCATTGTCTCCTGCTACATCAACAGCAGTATAGCATCCACAGGAAATGGAGAATTCCTGAAGTCCACCCTCAGATGCTTGTTCACACAGCCATCTTCGGCAGCGTGAGTGAGGGTTTCTAAGAATGACTGGCCTGTTTCTAAGCCCTGCGATTTCTATGAGACATCTTTCATGTAAAAATTTAAAATAAGAAACAACAGTAGCAATCCAGATGTTCACATGTGTTTTGTCTGTGTTTAGTCAATAGTTTGCAATCCATGTGCACATTTTAAACTTTAGTGATTACCAATAATTTAGCTGATTGCTTAGGACATTGAAAGGTCTCAAAAGGATGTGTACATATGCATGTTTGGGGACTTCGCCCTTCTGAGGAGAGGCCCTTGGTACTTGGGATAACGAAACTTGTGCAGTGGGCTGCCCGCGCTTACACACTAAATAATATAAAGGAAATGAAGCCATGTTAACCTGACAGCTGTGTCTGAGTAGTTGTGTTGTTTACAATACTCTACAAATGGGTTCGTGTTCCTCTGTAATTAAACCGCTGCCCTTAGAGGCCTTTCAGTTTCTTCTCTGTCATGTCCCTTCTTACAGGAGCTCAGATTTTCTAAACTTGTTTTTATTTTAAAGACTTTTAAAATGAAAATTTTCAATAAACAAGAATAAACAGTGCTTTATAAATAAGACCAATAGTTTATTCTTTTTCTACCAGTTGATGTTTAGGAAGGTAGTTTGTAAGTGTCACTTCCCGGTGCCAAGGATGTAAGCTTTCAATCCATACATACATCATACTATCAATGGTCGGGGCTAATTTAACATATCATTTATCACCTCACATATTACCATATCTGTACTGAGAACACTTAAAATCCTTGCTTTTTAACTCTTTTGAAATATACAAATAGTATTAACTATAGTTACTTATTATGCACAGATGAACTCTTCCTGTTTTACTGAAATTTTGTCTACTTTGATCAAAACAATGTCCTCTCTCTTTCTCCACCCAGGCCTAGTCAGCCCTTATTTTACCCTCTACTGGTGTGTGGGGTTCTTCTATATATGTGTTGCTTTTGTTGATTAATGAATAAAAAATCTGGCTTGGCCTGTGATAGGGCAAAATAGAGCTAGGCGGGGAAAACTAAACTGAATGCTGGGAGAAAGAAGGCAGAGTCACAGAGACACTATGGAGCTGCCAGAGGAGAAAGATGCAAGTCACAAGCCAGAACCTTGCCAGTAGGCCATGAGCCTCATGATAAAATATAAATAATAGAAATGGGTTAATTTAAGATAAGAATAGAAATGGGTTAATTTAAGATAAGAGTGAGCTAGAAATATGCATGAGCTAATAGGCCAAGCAGTGTTGTAAATAATACAGTTTCTGTGTGATTATTTCGGGTCCAGGCAGCCGGGAACAAACAAGCAGCCTCTTTAGAACACTCTACTTCTGAGAGTTCCTGTTTTTATATTCCATATATGAGACTGAGATGCATGATGTTTGTCTTTTTAAATAAGCCTGGCTTATTCCATCTAGCACAATTCCCTCCAGGTTCATAATGCTGTTACAAATTAGTTTCTTCTTTTTGAGGGCAACGTGGTATTCCATTGTATGTATATCTACCACATTTTTATCTATTTATCTACTCACAGATTCTTACCTTAATTCTTTCTCTCTCTCTCTCTCTCTCTCTCTCTCTCTATATATATATATATATATATATATATATATATATATATATATATATCTGGAGTCAAGGCCTCACTGTTTAGCCATGGCTAGCCTGAAACTCAGTGTATATGCTAGGCTGTCCTCGAACTCCTCGTACTCACAGAGATCTGTTTGTCTCTGGCTCTGAGTGCTGGAATTAAAGGGAGTGTAGCACAAATAATAAAAACCCAGAGACAGATATTGGGGTTCAACCTGGAAATCAGAAGAGGAAAGCCCCCAAGTCACTAGAGAGCTCTTACCTCTATGAAATCTTCAGACTGAGAGAGAGCGAGTTCCTGTCTCATCCCACCTTATAGTCCTCTCTGGTGCTGGGATTAAAGGTGTGCACAACAACTGCCCAGTCTCTATGGCTAACTAGTGTGGCTGCTGGGATTAAAGGTGTGTGCAGCCACTGCCTGGCCTGTATGGCTGACTAGTGTGACTGCTTTATGCTAACCTTTAGACAAGCTTTACTTATTAAAGTACAGATGAACTATCACTACAAGGGTGCACAGCATCATGGCCAGTGTAGGTTATTCTAGATCTTGACTCAGTGAACAGTACTGCATTGGGTATGGGAATGCAGATATGTCTTCAACATAGTGATTGCCTTTCTTTTAGAAATGGTGAGGAGTAGGTTGAGGTTGGAAATTTTAGCTAGTCCTTTCGCATCAGCCTTCCCTTAACCTTCCCTTTCCACTTAAGGTTCTATTTTACAGTGTGATCAACCTGTAAAATAGTGTAAAGTAGTGAGCAAATGTCACCTACTGGTGACATAGAACTTCCCTTAACTTCTCTATCTTTCATCTTCTGGCCTCAGCTTACAAACCACTTGAAGTGCATCTCACAAATTTCCTTCCAGCATTAAGAAAGATACCATCATTTTCCTATCCATGTACTCATCCCTTTTTGTGTTTTTTTTTAAATTTATTTATTTATTAAGGATTTCTGCCTCGTCCCCACAACCGCTTCCCATTTCCCTCCCCCTCCCCCGATTAAGTCCCCCCCCCTCATCTGCTCGAAGAGCAATCAGGGTTCCCTGACCTGTGGGAAGCCCAAGGACTGCCCACCTCTATCCAGGTCTCGTAAGGTGAGCATTCAAACTGCCTAGGCTCCCACAAAGCCAGTACGTGCAGTAGGATCAAAAACCCACTGCAATTGTTCTTGAATTCTCAGTATTCCTCCTTGTCCGTTATGTTCAGCTAGTCCGGATTTATCCCATGCTTTTTCAGACCTAGGCCAGCTGGCCTTGGTGAGATCCCAATAGAACATCCCCATTATCTTAGTGTGTGGGTGCACCCCTCGTGGTCCTGAGTTCCTTGCTCGTTCTCCGTCTCCCTTTTTGTGTTTTACAACAGTTTGTCAGTCTGTGATATTTTCACCCGTGATCTCTGGTGTCAGCAGTCAGGATGAGAAGTTTTTGAGTTGGGGGCCGGGGAGGTTAACTCAGTAGATTGCCATGAAAGCAGGGGACTCTGAGCTAGATCACCAGAGCACATGTAAAAGTGGTGATATGGTGGCATGTACCTATAACCCCAGAACTGAAATGACAAAGACAGGTAGCTTCTTGGGGCTCACTGACCAGCCAGCCTAGCCTGCTCGCTGAGTTACAGGCTGGTAAGAGACTACCTCACTAAGGTGGGGCTGGAGAGATGGCTAAGCCAGTAAAGGTTCCGGCCATGAAGGCTTAGTGGCTTGAGTTCAATCCCCAGAACACACATAAAGTTGGAAGAAGAGAACCAACTCCACAAAGTTGTCCTCTAATGTCTCCATACATGTGATGCTGCATGTGCATGCCCTACCTTCATAAATGTGAAGGAAAAAATGTAATTTATGTGCTAGAAATGCTGAAGCATGAATGAACAGTCTATATACAGTGGTTCTGTTGAACTTGTCCATATGGTCTAACTTGAGGACGACTGACCAGGTCTCTTCCTCAAGAGGGCACCAGATCTCATTACAGATGTCTGTGAGTCACCATGTGGTTGCTGGGAATTGGGAAGAGCAGGCAGTGCTCTTAACCACTGAGTCATCTCTCCAGCTCATCATAAATGTACATATAGCATAATAATAAAAATAAAGTTTAAAAAACTCCAAAAGGTGGATGAGTGCTGTGCAATGGTCCTGATGTTGGCCTATGCCCTATACACACAGAGGGAGGGAGGAGAGGAGAAAGATGAACTGGATACTGTTTGCTGCTCCACACTGTCTATTCCTATTCCCACATTTCCCCCCAAAAACATAAGGGCAAACATATATTTTTCCAAAGTCTCACAGCAAGGGTTCTGGATATGATGAAGGTGCACATACATTTCCAGTTATGCTAAGA